GGGAGGGCGCAGGGGAGGGAGCGCGCGACCCGAGCGACGAAGTCGCGAGTGGTCGACTTGTGTCGCTTGCAGGAATTTAAATCGCATTAAAAATTTTGGCGCAAATAATTTTGACATATTAAAAAGGGTGTGTACATATTTCATACAATTGCTTCACCGCGCGCCGTCAATGGGTCTACAAAAACATTCTCAAGAATTGATATTTCTTTGTCCTCGAATGAAACGGTTTGCACCGAGTGTGGAAACGAAATAACTGACCCAAGTAAGCTCCGAAAGCTGTTAATATATGTATCAACAAAAACAAGTGCATGTAAAAACTTATTGAATCTAGACAGTTGTTTTGTCTAACAATGACAATGTGTGCCGTAATTGTGTCGACAAGAATAGTAATTTATTAGACTTATTAAAGAAAGTTGATTAAGTTCGCGAGCAATTTAACGTAGTAAAAGTTAATCTAATTGAAAAGAATCAGGCATCTGTAACCAAGAAGCAGAGAGGCGGCGATTGTGATCAACGAGATTATGAGAAGACATCGCTAGAGTTCAAAATCCAGTAAATCCTGTTTTCTCAACAAACGAATTTGTAATAATCAGTAATCGAGATCAAGAAACCCAAACTAAACCCGAAACTAGTGAGGAAATTTTAGAATCATCACATGCACACATTTTCGGTGACAGTATTAAAGTTTATTTCTACACCCTGTAGGCGCATGTACTCATAGTCAATGTAATGTTTGCCGTTTGTGTATTTTCACATGGTTTTTGTGTTCTACAAAATCGTATTTCCGTTGTTTACTCTGTTTACTTCAATAATAAATGTTTGTTCAACAAAAAAGCCTTAGAATATAATGTTATTTTTAGACTCCTTCGATAATGATCAATAAATTTAAACCGCTTCGGCCTTCAGTGTAAACAATGACGTCACCGGTGGATTTTTCCACCGGTGATATTTGGCGCGCTGCAAGTGACAAAAGTCCTTTCTACAGAGGAAGTGAAGCGCACCATAGAGGGGTCTGGAAAGGACTTTGGAAAGTCTAGAAACCACCAGGTGTTGCGAGCTTTCACCAAGTTTTCCCATTTCGTCCTTGTGCTCACAGACATGATTGTTGTTATCAGCTTCATATCAGGAATCTGTTTGAGTGTTGAACACGACGGGTCTTGCTCTCCAGCAAGTATATCGCAATACATGCCACAAGCTATTTTCAATGCGAAATGTTTTAAACAAGCCTTCTGAATTTTTCAAAGGTAAGGGACCAGTCATAAAGTATTGGGGGGGGGGGGCTGGAAGAAAAGGGGGGGTGGGCCACCATTTTCATGCTTGCAAAAAAGGGCCAGAGAAAATTGTGCACTACATTAGGGGTGGCTGATGTGTAAATATGTTCTAATTTACACTGTTAATTAACCCATAAGCGACAACGCTCTCCCCTTGAAGAGAAAAATAGTCTACAGTAAAATAATCTGGCATTAGACAGAGTAAAATAATAAAGTGGGTGCATCAGCACGTAATGCAACTCAATGGGTTAACTGTTAAGGATTATTCAAGCTCACACAATGCATGACCAACCCAAACTTTTCATATTACACAAACTTTAATGTATCGGTATATATGAACACAGTGTACTAAACTTGTTCATAAGTTTTAATGAAGGAAATAATTAGAGGACCAGTATTCAAAATGGTTGTTATATACTCCGGCTCCTATCGTAAACATATATGTCAATAAATGTAAACTATGGAAACTACGATTATACAAACTAAAAAAGGTGAAATATTTTGTGGGACATGATATAAAAGGCAAGAGATTGAAAATGAGTAGGAAAGGCAACCCATGTACGTGTTTCAACCTAACAGTCTTCTTTAGCAGGGTTTTTAAGTTTTGTCTGCTTTGAATGACCATTTTCTGAGTTTTCCTTCATCTTTTCAGCTAAGTGATTATTAAACATAATCACCTCGGTACATAAAAAAACTGACTTAATGATGAATTAATTTTGAAGTAGAGCAAATGACAGATCCTTGTAGAGCTAGTGTCCTCAATAGTACAGTGAGTTTAAATGATTGTGAAATAACAGCCAGTCAACAGACTGGGGAGAATGGGGAGTTGTCCGGTCAAATTCTCACCTTGCCGGTCATTTTGACCGGTCACTTTCGGTAAAAGAACAAACTAACCTTCATTTTATAATAATAATCAAAATAAAGTGGTCAAGTACAATATTATAATTAAGAACCATAACATGCATGTTGTCGAATATTTTGCAGGAAAACAACTTCAATGTACACCAGTTTTCGCACACAGTATGTCACAAAGCCCATGGCCATGGCCATGCCTTTGGCTTAAGAGCTAAGACCATGCTTTTAGCCCAGTACAAGCTGTTTTATGTGAAGGAATTTTTAATTACTGATTACAGTAAGGCTTTTTGTACTGGGAAAATGGTCACATTTTTAGGGGTGTACTTCACTAGGCTTTGCTTTAAGCTGAATAATTTGACCGGCCAGAAATTCGGTATGTCCGAGCTAAAATTGAGTTGGCCGGTCACCGTATAAAACTGAATTTGAAACATGTAAAAAATATCACCAATAGAAAGTGATCCATGAGTTTCCCGCCTTTTGTTGACTTTTAGCAAAGGGTGGGTCATTAATTTTTGTGCATGACTTTAAGGGTGGGCCATTGATAATTAAGTCTTATTCCAGGGGTGGACCAAGGAAAAATATACAGTTGAAAATTTGATTTCTCCAGCCCCCCCCCCTATACTTTATGACTGGTCGCTAAGCTCCTCTTTTCCCACATGCACAAATTCTTGAGGCCCAACACACAGATATTTTTTAGCTTTCCCACTGAATTGCAAGCTTAATCTCTGTACAACTATCTTATCTTTAGATTTTTTAGACTCTTTGGTATTTTCGTGCTTTTTTCCAATACTTTTTTCCTTCATAGCTTCCACTTCTCCCAATCCTCAAGATTTTCTTTAGGAAATTTCGAAATACACGATCGCATTGCATTCCGGGTCTATGGCAACGATAGGCCATGGGGAAATTTGATTTTAATTTAAATACAGTTTTGCTTTCATTTTGTTTTGAAAATATAATTTTTATTTTTTAAATTTCAAATTGATTGTATGTTGAAATGATTTTGTTTTTTATATATTTTTTAATTTTAAGTTTATGTTTTTTTTCTTATGGCAACGATCGGCCACCATACACATTCAAGTGCCGAAGCAGAGAATATTTTGGCGGTTTTGGGTAAGTTACTGACTTAAATCTTTTTTCTGATGATTTATATTTCATTCATAAAATTAAAAAACTTTTGAATTAGTTAAAATTTTTTTG